GGGGAGGGGGGGGGGGGAAGAAAAGAAAAGCGAAAATAAGGGGGGGGAGGGGGAGAAGACAGAGAGGGGGGGGGGAAAGGAAGGGGGGGCAACAGAAGGAGGCGAGAAAGGGGAGGGGGAAAAAAAAAAGGGGAAGGGAAAAAAGGGGAAACGTAAAAGGGAGGGGGGGGGGAAGGGGAGAGAAGAAAAAGAGGGGCGGAAAGGGGGGCGAAACAATAACAAAAAGCGGGCATGGCAAGCCGCCGCCCTAGCCGCCGCCACCTTCGCCGCCGCCACCCTCACCGCCGCCACCGTCTCCTCCTCCTCCGCCCGGAAAACCGCCATCGCCACCCTCGCCGCCCGCGCCCCCTCCGTTCCCGCCGCCACCCTCGCCGCCACCCTCGCCTCCGCCGTCGCCTCCTCCGCCGTCGCCACCACCGTCCCCGCCACCCTCGCCGCCACCGCCAAGCCCACCCCAGCCCTCGCCGCCGCCTCCGTCGCCACCGCCCCCGAGCCCGCCGCCGCCCTCGCCGCCACCCTCGCCGCCACCGCCAAGCCCACCCCCGCCCTCGCCGCCGCCACCGTCGCCACCTCCATCGCCGCCGCCAAGCCCGCCGCCGCCCTCGCCACCGCCGCCCTCGCCGCCGCCTCCGAGCCCGCCGCCGCCCTCGCCGCCGCCCCCGAGCCCACCGCCCCCAAGCCCGCCGCCGCCCTCGCCGCCACCGCCCTCGCCGCCTCCATCGCCGCCCCCCAGCCCACCGCCGCCCTCGCCGCCGCCACCCAGCCCACCGCCGCCCTCGCCACCACCGCCCTCGCCGCCTCCGCCGAGCCCGCCGCCGCCCTCACCGCCGCCGCCCTCACCGCCGCCCCCCAGCCCGCCGCCACCATCGCCCCCGCCGCCGTCGCCACCTCCTTCGCCGCCTCCCGGCCCGCCTCCGCCGTCGCCGCCGCCCCCATCACCGCCGCCCCCAAGCCCGCCGCCGCCCTCACCACCGCCGCCCTCGCCGCCGCCCCCGAGACCACTGCCGCCCTCGCCACCGCCGCCCTCACCTCCTCCCCCGAGCTCACCACCGCCGCCGCCGTCTCCGCCGCCCTTCCCGCCGCCGTCACCACCACCTCCGAGGCCGCCGCCTTCCCCGCCGCCCTCCCCACCACCACCCTTGCCGCCGCCACCGAGTCCGCCTCCGCCAGCGCCGCCGCCACCGTCTCCACCGCCCTCGCCGCCTCCGCCTAGCCCTCCACCCTCACCACCGCCATCGCCGCCACCGCCGTCGCCGCCGCCGCCGCCGTCGCCGCCGCCGCCGCCGCCGTCCCCGCCGCCGCCCTCGCCGCCGCCGCCGCCGCCGCCCTCACCACCCCACGGCTTTCCCCGCCACCTCCACCTCGCCAAGAAAGCCTCGCGGACCGCAGCGCGAACGCGCGAGCG